TGCCTATGAGCACGTGCCTTTCAGCACTGGGTAGATTATCAGGCTGCGTTCTTACACTCCCGTAACGAGACAGCTATGTGCTAGTGGTGCCCCTCAGTCCTGTGTCAGGAAGGTGGCTATCGGCCATCATCCACGCAAACCTCAGTAGCTGACCACAATATTTTCCTGACGATTTCCGATCAAGTGATTGGAGCGAAATAACATTGGCAGTGCTGCTGTTGGTCGATGGACCACACGTCCATCGAAGCAACCCGTTCCTTATCAGGCAGGCAACGAAGAGTGTTCTTGGGTGCCTCTGAAATGCCCCGTGCTGAAAGTCCCATTATCACTCCCTTCGTACAGGAATTTCAAATGTTCCTAGGCATGAGTCAGTGGATTAAGGCTCTTTTATGTAGCCTGCAGTCATCATTGGTCGTCTCAGCCGTAAAGTTGATTTGAATCGGATCTTGTGTGATTCACTGAATAAAACTACCTTTGCAAATGAGTAAAGGTTTATATCTTCACTGTGGTCTGTATAAAAAAAACTATCAAATATCCGAGCCAAGCACGCAGTCAACAACTCCATAAAGCCGCCGAAAAAGCATTTATCCTGTTTCTTTGGAATTGTACCTTTGAAGGATCGAGGAGTGGGAATCGAAGGGGAGAATTGTGTATTACTTGGTGGGTTAAAGATCAATCCAATCATACCACAAGAATACTTTAAGGTTGCAGTTGCATCACTGCTTGAGCTACGGCCGTTTTATTAGCTCATCAGTATTGTTCGAAGTAGCTAGATGGAACATGTCTGCAGGCCCGGCTATTCTCATTGTCTGTTGTTGATACACTCATGTGGATAGCTATTGTTCCCCACCAAAACTGAGTTGGTTGTCTTAAGTTGTGCTAATATCACCTGAACACCTGGGTAATTTGTTCGCAGTTTGAACACGGATTGAGAAATGTTTGAGTTTGTCGCTGAAGTCGGGCACAGAAGCTGCAGTTGTGATGAATGGCGAACGTAGTAATCAGATCCAGTGCTGGGACCTGTGGATTGGCTACAAGAAAAACGTGAAATCATAAGAAAGGAGTCAGCAGTACCGTATTTTCGTTTACCCGCCCTGCTGCATGCAGCAAGTAAAGGACGACACTGGTGACATTGTTCGACAGCCGATGTGGTTCGAGATTATTGTTAGGTGTAAGTGACATGGCTGTACGCGAGCTGCCATTTAACACGGTTCTCGTAACTCATTAGTGACGTCTTTTATTTTTCATGCCGCCTTCTGAGTTACCCAGCTTGGTGTTAATTTCAAGCTGGTAAAGAATCTGTGATTGGTCTGTAATGATTTTCTGGGAAACAATTTGGCGGCAGGTTCTGGTAGATAACCTCGGAAACACTGATTCATAGTACCACACTTGTATCCTCACAGGGAGGTTGACCCAAAGTGACAGAATGGACTCACTGTTAACGAATGCTCGATTAACATAGTCGTCTTGCGAAAAAAGGATGACAGCCAAGTTTGGTCGGTCCGTCTCATGTACTCCACGAGTTTGGCAAAGAGGCCGTCCTCTGTGTTGAAATATTGGTAGCTCGGGTGAGTTTATTGGTTGTCGATTAGGTGGCTGTTGATCCGATTCCCAAGCTTGGCAACTGGCTTGCACACGCTTCGTCATCATACGAGGAGACATCACTGCGCAGTTGGGTGGGTACTTCTTCGTTGTCTGCGTGCGTTTATATAGCATTCGAAGGCTATCTGTTATGTTCTGACGTGATTGGCTACTTGGACTGTACCGAATTCAGTGAATCTATTAGCCTGTTTGTGATCTTTGTTGAGTTGTGGTCTGCGTTCCTCTCTGGCCTTGACTCGCATCGCGTTGTGGTCTGGCGTTCTCGAGTTTGATTGGTTGCTTGAACCGCTTTACTTACTCCATCGTTATGGTTAGTGTCACTGCGTCCGCCGGTTGATTTGGTGCTTTGGTTGGACGTCTCCAATCCAATTGATGTGTCCGTCTGAATGGAGCTTTCGCTGCTTCCCTTATGAGTTCCTCATCTGGTTACTTTTGCAGCTCAAAGTTCTGTGGTTCTGGCATTCTCTCACTCTGGCTGGTAAACAGGATGAATTTCTATATGTTTGTTGATGGCTTCTTCGATGGAGTACCACGCTCCCACAAATTCGCGTTCTTTTTTTGTTCTTGCTTGAGCCAGTATGCGAACGCCGCTCCAGTTGAAATCATGTCCCCTCCTGATATTTGTGTACGGAGATGAGGGAGAATCGATCGTTGTCTTTTAGTGACGAGCTTGTGTTTATGTATTCTTTCGGAGAGCTTCCTTGCCGTTTGTCGCCGTTGTTGCATTGGATCATGTATGTGACATTGTTCTTCGTCATTGGATCTCCCTTACGGTCTTGATAATGTCCTCCGCAGAGTGTTCGCAGGCTAGTAAGCGACCGTTGTATTGTGCTTTCGTAAGAGCCTTGCCGTCAGTTCAGGGGTGTTCTTGATGTACGGGAGTGTGACTCGTTTGCTTTCGTCCCGTCCTGTTGCATCGATGGTATTTGGTCTCCTGAGTCTTCTCCATATGAAATTCTTCGGGTATCCATTTTTCTGAAACAAATAGGCGCTTGAGTGTGACTCGTTTGCTTTTATTTCGTCCTGTTGCATCGATGGTATTTGGTCTCCTGAGTCTTCTCCATATGAAATTCTTCGGGTATCCATTTTTCTGAAACAATCTGTATAGGCGCTTTTCTTCTGTGATCTTGGATTCTGTTGTGCTGCAGTGTGTCTCGATTCGCTTGAAAATTGTCCGAATGCAGCTTCGTTTGTGGCAGTTTGGATGGTTGGTGTGGTAGCTGAGGTTTGGTCCGTATGTGTTGTCTCTCCATAAACCTCAGTTTATAGCTGTCCGTTCGGCAATCTAGTGATAAGGACGTCCAGAAACGCCAGTCTTCCGTTGTTTGCTTCTTTGGTTGCGAAGTTGATGTCTTTGAAACGTTGTTTAGCAGTTGGCTTACTCGTTGGAATTCGCTTCTTTTGATGATCACAAATGTATCGTCCACGTAACGGATCCATATTTTGGGATTTATATGGGGCAACACAATTTGTTCCAATTTTTGCATTGTGATTTCTGCAATGAATCCTGGAATTGGTGATCCCATCGGTGTCCCTCGTAGTTGTTCATAATATTCTTCGTCGAACTCGAAATGTATGATCTGGCATAAGTCGAGTAATCTGCAGAGGTCCTTATTTCCCAGTGATCCAGTTGGCGTGCCGTTGTTGTCCAATAATTCAGCCACAGTTATCTTGGCCGAATCGAGGTCTACAGACGTGAATAGTGAGCTCACATCAAATGAGACCATCATTTCATCTTGTTCGATGCTTACGCGCGTTTTATTCGTAGTGTACCAGGCAAATATACAAGCGGTGTGACAAAGTCCTTCAGGCCTATAAAATGAGATCTACGGTTCACATAACCCTCCAAACCTGAACGGTTCGCCTAAATAGTATGATCAGTACAGTCACTTATGAATACTTCGTCCTGAAGCAGCTATGTGAGAAACCAATAATGTCGTACGACTATCGGGACACGGCTAGTACTTTGTGTTCAGATCGCCAGGCCTAGGTCCGATGAAATTTTCGGTATAACCCAAAAATAACCCTGGAATCATCTATTTGGCTTACCGGGACACACCAGTTGTGAAACTTGTCTGAAATTTATAATCACTGGCAACTCCAGTCGCAATGATAAGGGTCTGTATAAGTTTATCGTCTTTTAATTCCGACTACAAAATGTGCCCGACCAGCTTTACAGTCAGGACTTACGCAAGCAAAAAGAGACTAACTTCTGAACAAGAAACTCTAGGATTGTTGCATGCTTCGAAAACCTACTCAAATCACTAGCGACAGTATGGAAATCGACCCATGTGCGTTTCGAATTTCTTATCGGGTCACTGATCCCCATTTCGAAGTAAAGGCTGCGTATTCGAAATTCCGTAGGAACGTACAACCCACCTTCCGTGGACAATGATGGACTGCTTATGCGCATTTCAACGAAGAGACAGGTGGGCCGGATTGCCAGTTCACGGGACATCTGTCAACAGATACAACTACACTGCGATGTCCCCAGGGATGAACTACTCGCGAAGCTAATCAAGTTGTTGAAGCCACTTTTCAGTTAGAGGTAATGTCTAGCATCAACCAGTCATTAGACTAGAAAACAGAGAAAAAGGCAGAAAACAAACTACTTCAAGAGAAATTCATAAGCAGAACGATCAAAAGTGTCCTCAATTTCTTCTTGTAAAGCCAGTCTTGCGCGGGGAGTACGTCGTAGCAAACGGCGTTGTCTTTCCTCAGGTGAGCACTCATCCAGATCGAGTGGGATCTGAAGCGAAACGTGGAAACGATGAGAGAATACGACGGATACCAGGCATCTGAAAGTTAGTGAGAAATCGTACTACTGTTACATTCCAAGTAGCGCAATAAAAACAAATGTAGCACGCATGAAGCACATGTGCTCTACCGACTGCAGCCTCTGCAAGGCGAATCTGAAACCCCTACTGGGACCGTCTGTCAAGTGAGTTACTTTCAACGTACTCCACAAATCCAAAAAACGAAAATGCGTTCCGTGTTGCGAGGCTATATACTTCAACAGAACAACAGACTCAAGCAACCAACGAGTTCACGGCAATATCAAGTTATGAACGAAATGGATCTGGTGAACAGTTAGTAATTACAGCACAACGTAGCAAGGGTGTCAGGCGGCGGATGCTAAAAACTGCTCACGCCCCAGCTACAGGAAACAAATTTCCCCATTTTAGCACTCGGAAAAGAACTGTGTTCAGCTGATACAATGCGAGATTGTGTTCCCTTTGAGTACTTTGGGAAAGTAAGTGAACGTTCTTCTAAAAGAAATACCCTGCACTATGCCACCTAACAAAGGGTTTTGTTGTATCAGGGTAAAGAAAACTGTTAAACTAGGCCTTCTTTGGAGAAAGTACTGGTGATAGACCCGTCCTCATATCTCAATAGCGTTCGGCTGTGGCATCCTTTCGGTGCCTAACTGCCATGCCACCAGAAAAAAGCACGAGGGCTGAGACATCGTCAGGTTGCCCAAGCCTACACAGGGGAAGTCGAGAGTTAGAGGTCGAGTTCGAACCACGGACCTTCTTATCAGCAAATCTGCGCTCTAACCACTGAGCCATCTCAGTAAGACTACTTTGATTGCTCCACCCTGACGTAAACTTTGCGTTACCCCTGGAAAAGCCCATCTTAAGTATCTCACGAGTCCTAGTGGAACAAAGAATTTCGGTCAAGAAAGGTACCCGAAGGTATTTCCTAACATTATACGGACACAATCGACAACTGACGTTAGTGTTGTCGGACTGGTCGCTTGAAGGTGTAGGCACCAAAATGATCTTGTGGTAGGTTAACACCAAATCTCTTCCTTATCCACTTACTCATTTTCTCCAGGCTGTCAACTTCAAAAACAAAATTCTTATAGGTGAGCAGCCATTGTCTGCGCCGCTGGTGATATTAACGATGGTGGAGAATGTGGATTTAGTCATGTGACTAAATCTAATGGTACGGACGAGTGTTTCTCAGCCTGCAGCTGTTCGAACTCAGACTGTTACGAAACCTACTTGAGCAAGGCATCACAAATGTGGGACCGATCAAGAGAAGTACTGCGGAATGAGTATTATCAAGAGGAGTTTGGACCGACGGACTGGGGCGCATCAACGATAAGTAGCAAAGTACGGCAGGGACACAGCTTATAATTGGAGTCGGTTACCATGGTTATTCCCATCATAGGAAACTCGACTCGACTTGTCATGCGCACATCCAAATGGTCGCTGCCTCATTGTCGTGGAAGACACCATCCACAAACATCTTTGCTGACTGCGACAGTGTAGATCGTTAAATCTGTAAACTAATCGGGACGATCGAAGTCGATTTCTCTTTGATGGGACTATTCTACAGGCACATCGACTTTTAATCAGTAGTGGCTTGTTAAGGCCTCCACGATTAGTTTGCGTCCGTTAAGGTGAAAACTCACCAGCAACAACCTACCAAGTTTACGTGGTGTTAACAACACATCAGTACGGACGTCTTTGATTCGGAAACTCGTAACGAGAATTTCGGTAGCAGATAGTATAAAACAAGAAATGGTCATTCAGCTGTAACACACTCTCAATGCATAGTTTTCATGCCATTCCCGAAGAAAGCACAAGGGCTCAGACTGCCAGGTTGCCCAACCTTAGATAGCAGAAGTCGAGATGCAGAGGTTGGGTTCGAACCAGGGGGAACTTCTGGCCGGTAATTCCGCGCTTTTACTGCTGAATCATCTCTAGTTGTTTGGTAACAGATAAAAATGTGAATCCCGTTCTCAAATGGGAGAGAAGTCGTGTTTCCAACAATACACTCAGCACGGGACGTTCCTCGTACAATCGATACGGTTGTTTCTCAATTTCTATACACAATCTTTATTTCGGAATCTGAGACCATGTAATTTTTACGGATGAGAAATATAACATGGACTTTAGGATTCGTTGACACGCCCGATGATATACACCAGGAACAATCGGAATACATTAAGATCCGAGCATGATACGGGGAACTGTCGAAGGTGTGTGTTTAGTGATTTAGCCATTTGCTTTGAACCTATGCGGACATCTTAATCCAGCTGTTTGGTTCCAGGGTTTTGTTTCTACTAGTACAATTTTTTCTACCAGAGTGCAGGCTAATCACACTACTGCTCAAGCACCCATGGCTGCGTGGTAATCCTATGCGGAAGATTGCGCGGTCGAATTACCCTACACGTTTCTCACGATGCAGAAAGATTACTAGTTCCAGAAAGGTTGTAAGCAAGACTGATTTCAGGTGCAAGATAATAAAAAAAAAGTCCAACAGTGTTTCCGAATGTCCTCCAAAAAGGGCATTACGCGCTTGTCACATATCTGAAGATGTTCAGGAATGACATGAAAATACAATCTGACAGAGTTGAGATTAGCGGAGGGTTGTTCATTCCAGGATCAAGTCAAGGAAAATGGTCGGTTTGCGGTGCCCCAATGTCACTACGCCATTCTACCATGCGAGGTAGATGCAACTATCGCCTTCGGAAACAGTCAGCTCCCAGGGGGAGGCTGAGCTTACACGTTAAGTGGTTGAATTAATAACTTGTCAAGTACATTTGCATACTAATTTGGTTTTGATGGGCAATTGAATCCCGCTGAATCTCCCGCTTATGAAGGTTTTCTGTCGAAGAGTTTCCAGCAATCTTATGAGCTGTGTGTTACGTCCATCCAATGCATTGCGATATCTCGGAGATCGTACAAAGTGAAAGATAAGGCGGCCTTGTGTAACATATTCAGTTGAAGACAACCAGTGAAAACGAGAGATTCAGCTGAGTCTCCTGTCAAAACCGAATTAGTGTGCAAATGAGGTTAGTCGGTGAACTTCGTCCAATTTGGGTTCAAGTAGAGCCGATGACTCGATGACTGCGCCTAAGTGATGAACCCCAAGAAGGGAGAAACCGGTTGTCGAGGAGTTTTCAGCTACCTTATGAATGTGTTAAGTCGGTGAATAACTTGGTTGTGCGTTTGTTCGCCAAGCTTGACAGTTGGATTGCGGACGTTTCATCATTCTATTCAGGTGGAATCCTCAGTGTGGAACGGAGTGAAAATAACCGGCGGAATACGTATATTAAAAACATAACGGGTATGCAGAATGTTCGTACCAAAAAAAGTGGTAACGAACCAGTGATAATTACCTGTAACAAATATCGTGGTTCCTCATACCGAATGCGAATAGAAGCACCGTTCGGAAGTGCGACAGTGACCGGATACATTCGTGGATAGATTTTTCGCTTTATATGTGTGACCACGGCACGGTTTGCATTCGTCCGTGTTATGAGGCTAGGTCAAAAAATAAGTAAAATGGTCTGGACGAAAATTACCTTAGCGGACCCCGAACGATTCGGCCACAAAGCGAGGACTGCATCAAGTTGACGCTCACAAGATAAAACACGGTCTAAAGGAGCTGAAATTGGACAAAAAAGGACTTAATGAAACACGGAGAGAGGTGAAAGAAACTATCGTGTGGAAGTGGGAGGGTAACGGGCTCAAACTATATGTGACCTATTCTCGGGTGGATTACAGATTAGGCCGTCTCCGTGAGAACTCCCCAGAGATAGTTCTCCTAGGCTGCAGCCATATAAATTGCGTACAGAACACTCAACACACTGTGTAAACGTACCTGGAAAAATTCCAGACCTATGTCTTTGTTAGTAAAAAACTTGATGACTGCCTGGGAAGGAGAAAGCTTAAAAGGACTCGATTCTGAGATAGACGGGAAGAGTATGGCCGGACAAGTGTGCATTTATTGAACCTAACTGTTTGACCGAATTAAAAATAGGCGAGAACATGCCAAATAAACTAACTCGCGTGAGGACGTGAAACACTATGAAAAATTGTTTTAAAAAGGGTCGTGCCATAGTATAAAAATCGTGCAGCTGTAGCGCCCTTTCGGGGCCTAACTGCCATGCCATCCAAAGGTAGCACGACGGCTGGGATACTGCCAGGTCGCCCAAGCCTAGAAAGGGGAAATTGAGAGGCAGAGGTCGGGTTGGAACCTTCAGGTCAGTAAATTCGAGCTCTAACCACTTGGGCCATAAATAGTATAAACAGAACGAATATTCCAGAAACATTCCCTGGGACCAGGGTATATCAAATAATTCTCGAGAACCACCCTGCCCCAACGTATGGACTACGTGGGCATGAACGCTCTCCTGTGCACCCCGGAGAACAAGCTTTCCAGTCGTGATGGACCGAAACGACCCTATCACCTCAAATGGAATGCAGAACATGATAAAGAAATGATTCGCTGACATGGGTACTAGTGCTTTCGCTTTCCTGTTTTCACAGGAAAGTTATTAAAGTTCCCTTTGGAAGACAGTGCATTCCAAAACCGACGCCGCACATTTACCAACACTTTAGCATGAGAATTGGCAAGCTACCGTACTAAAACGTGATTGTGCATTCCCTATTCTCTCGACCACCAGTGTCCATGTCACTGAGTATAACTAAGAAAGTGGACTGGACCAAGTTAGAATTCGGGTTCAGACCACGTTACGCTAGTTGTTCATGGACCCGCTTCTTTTAGTGGTCTTTGCGAAGAGAGTCCAGCATTTACGACTTTGGACTTGCGGCTGGCCTATTTCGTTCAACGTAAAATTACAACGACGGAGTTATCAATTTGAGGACTGATCTATATTATTATACTATGTTATATTACATATCATGGATTCAACGGGAATTCTTTGCGGAGTAGACAGATCCTACGCCCCTTCAGCTTATGGTCAAGAGACACACATGAAACACCGATGGGTTAAGTGATGTATAGTAAAGGAAGATTTAACAAACCACGTACATACAGAACAATGGCACACTTTAGACATAGTTTCTCACTCGATATAACAGCCTATATTTCAGCCCATTACTCCCTATCCATTTAACCCAATGCAACCAATGGTATTTGGAACACGATACGAAGATTTTTATACAGTATGCCGACCTCGCGCGTGTGCCACTTAGTAAGTGATATGACGTTTTCTGTGCGGCATTGAAATACAGTGTCGAGCCAACCATCCTAAACAGAAACAGAAGCTTGGGTTCGGACAGGTAACGTTGACCATGGAAAACTTAGCCGAGCTAACTTCGTTTGTATGAGCAAGCGAAATACAGTGTTCATCTCAGTCAGCTACCTACGTTGTTCTGTGCTTTCGTGATACTGTGCACTGGGTTTACAGTACAACGGTAAAAGCGAATCGTGCTGTGCGTGCCTCGGAAGAAAGCGAGCACGCCCGCTCTCTGAGTTGGTTCCGAAGCCCTAACAGTCACAGGAGACAGTACGAACCGGAACAAATCATCTGCCGGTGATAGTCTAATGCAGAAGCAACGGAAATTGTATCACAGTGCATTGTCCACTACATGTTTACTGCTGCCACACATGGCTGATGGACGGTGGATATGGACCATGAGATAAACGGATTTCCGCCCTGAAGACAGCCAACTGGTTGCGCAGAACACCGGTCTTTATAGCACAGTAACTAGGACCTCACAGTTGGACCGGCAACATCGACATCAATGACGAACTGAAAATAAGCCCAAAACACAACACACGACTTAACATCTAGAATTTACAATAGATCCAGAGGAAGAACACAGTTGTGTTGACGTTTGTCTTTATTTTTTCTCACTGATCGGTTGGGCCTTTTGTAAAACCAATCGCAAAGTTATAAAAAGGTTTTGTATGGGGAATGACACCAATCATCTCCACTGTCCGATCAAAACCCAGCATTTTATCTGAGTGCTTGGGCAACGGACTCTTCCGCCGTCGTTTTGTGGTCGCAGTTGTCGTATTGGATGAAAGTGCTAACCACGATGATCGTTTTATGGGACGACGGGAGCTGTTGGGTGGAGTCCATTTCGTCCCCGGTTGTGGTTTTGGTAGTATGGGTTTGTAATTCTGAACAACAATCTCAGCTGCAGAAGAGGAGTTTGGCAAAGACCCGATGCCTAATTGTGCATGGCCAGGAAGGGTAGTTCCTACTTTGGGCATTTCTGGTGCGGACCCCCCAGAGGGGCACATGTGTTCAAGAATCTGTGTAAACAACGCATGGTAATAGTTGAACCAAGTGGAATCCAAGCGAACAAGTGCGTTGAATATCTCAAAAGTGAGTTGTGCAGCTATATCCCGCCTATCTTTTGCGTTCGTTACTGTACTGCTCTCTGTTAAATTGTGGTTCTCAGACTCGGCAACATTAGAGTCAGAGTCGCGGAACGCGGGCAAGTGAGATGAAGTGCGTGGCAAGGATGCATTGTGATTCGTCAGTTGCGTGGTTTCAGATGCGACAAGTTGTTGCTCTAGACATGCAATCCTTTTTCTCAGATTTCTGAAGTCATCGCGTGTCAAAGTTATTCCATAATTGGTCTGAACATAATTACGGATAACCATATATGAGGGACAAGAAGGTAAGATCGATAGCAAAGTGCGCTCCTGTTCTTCGGAAAGTTTTCTGTTACTGGGGTAGATTTGCCAATTAGTTGAAGACAAATCATGATTATGGCACATGTTGAAACGGATGATCTGCAGGCATTTATCACGGTACACAATGCGGAAGTAGGAGCCACAGTTGTAATCTTTGTAACTGGAACAAGTGAAAATAGGTTAGTCAATATCATTACGTAACACTTACAGACGACCACGTTTGTCTGCATTCCGACGCACACTAGTGTGTACGCATTTATAGAGAAGCATTGAATAGCCTATTTCCATCGGGATTATCTGTTGACTCCTCTTCTTAAAGGTTGAAGCAGTAACACTGCTGCAACGAGTGTAGCTAGTGCCTGTGAGACGTTGGAATTGGGCCAACTTTGTCTGCAATTCAGCCAATGTTCTACACTCCCGACCTGGAAAACACTCCAGGAATTGTTTTGTTACGTCACGGCATGTTGATACTTGTTGCATTCCACTACTGAAATCGATTATGACGAGGTTGAATAGGGTCTGAATCAAAATGTGTTTCCAGATTGCGAAGAGGTCTTCAAGAATAGGCTAAGAAAAATGGTTTCCGAATTAAAATCCCAACGACAGCTAGGAACAAAAAAAAGACATATCAGAGTTCGAAGATTCGATTTAGCAAAACGATTCAATCGAAGTTGGAGAGATATCCGACAATGAATGTCCCAATAGCTGGATGACCTACCAACCGGACATCAGCAGCGAAAAATCATTTTCTGGGAAGTGTACAGAGAACAAGTACGCGCGAAATGGCACCATCCACTGCTCAACAAAGGCACCGTTTGTAACTGAACAACCGAGTCCCAGGTTATGAGACCAAAGTAAGAAACATAATAGGGCAAATCGGACTGGTGTGCTGCTTCCACAAATTACTGTTACTTGAGTAGGCACTGCGCACCAGAGCATGCAAAACAACTGTACCTCAAGAACATCACTGCCTCCTCATGACTCACTGTGATCAAAATTCTGTTTCCTGAGGAGTGGATAAGGTACAACACAACATCTACTCAGGAAGTCCTGTTGACAAGCGAGATACACCAATTTGTAAACAAATTTGGTTTCGCGGGAGACTCACCTGGAACCTAGCTGAATCTCTCGTTCGTGATGTAGTTCGCTAATTTCGTGCAAGTTGGGTTAAGTAGAACATAATGTTGACAGAAACTCGGGGACTGCGCCTACCCGATGAGCCCCATGAAGGGTGAAATCGGTCGTGGGCTGTCAAAGAATTCAGAACCCTTATGAGTAGTGTATTGCGCCTGTTGACTACCTTCTTGTGTTTCCGCCAAAGTGAAAGGTCAAAAACGGATGTTCCGTGCCACAGCGGCTCTGATGGCTCACTGGTCTTCCGTCTAAGAAAGACAGATAAAACCAATTTTAAACCGACGATGACGAACACATGAACACAGTTCTGAAGTACCGGAAAAATGAGATTGATTCTGGGTCTAGCGACCAAGAAAACAATTGGGTTCAGTGGCTCTGCTGCCTCATACATCGAATGGTATTCGGAAGAAATAACTCGCCCACTATAGATGAACTGGTCACACCGCATAGGTTGCGCTGGCTTGGCCACATGGTTCGTATGCCAGCCGATCAGCTTCCCCGAAAGGTTCTTCTTAGGGAACCACGCAAAGGGTGAAAATGAACCAAAGGAGGTCGAACAATGACTTTGCAGCGAACTGTGAAAGCCAGTACCAGCAAACTCAGCTGCGCTGATTACTGTCATCTCTCTGAATACGGGTCCCGAGACAGGCCACATTAATGGTTGAAAAACATTATCAGACGGTCCAGCCACACCCTCAGCGGCGCCCGTACATCTAATCTATTGCCTTCAATGCATAGCTACATTCGCACTTAAAAGTTTACCGAGAACTAGATTTAAGCTCTGGTTCCCAATACGCAGCTACCTACCCTGCCTCCCCAAATCATCGGTGGACGAAAGTGGAGAGGCTAAAACCACTGTACGACAAGTGCGTGGATCTTACAGCTGATAATGATGATGGTGATCTCGACTTCCCACATGCTACTTTGTTTTGCTGTAGATGTTACCCTTTTCCGTTTTATTAGAATTACCTCCGAAACAGGCTAACAATTCTCTCTATCGTTATCTATGTATGTTAGCTCTCTACACCGTCAGGATGCACGCATTCGAAGCCCTGCTGTCTCACTGGTCTTCTTCTTGCTTCTACCTATTCTGCTATCTTTGATTAACTGTGTAGGATCCTGAAAGCCAAGGATCAGACAGGGTTTCGGGTAAATTTGGTAGAAATGATATGCTAGCGCAATCTAGCTGGCAGGGTGACAATGTAGCGTGTGCTACATGTCAAGATCTGAACGCACGAGTGGGCCCAAGTAAAGTGAAATCTCAACGAACTCTATCAGGTATAATGCAATATAAATGTGATACAGAAATAATGCTCCTGGATAAGCCGAGTTGGTGCAGTGGATACTGCGCCTACGTGTTATCCGAGGGTGCCGAGTTTGAACCCCGGCCGGGCATTTTTGCTTCATAAGTGACACTCAAAATCTAAGGCAAAGATGGACAGGCGATAAAATCACGACTTTAGTATATAGAAATAAGCGGAGCATCACCAGGGAGCCAAAAAGACGGGAATGAGTGGCAGGAAAGCAGAACGGCCTTATGATATGCAGGCGTAAGCTACACCACCATTTGTCAAGCCTCGTGGACATGGAACACGACAAGTGTATGCTCGGTCGGTCGCCTGTCATCGCCAGCGGTTGAGTGCATGCAATGCCACCTTGCCAAGGGGGGTCGGTAGTAAGTCAGAGTAACAGGAGAACACATCCCTAAAAGGCTGGTGACACTGCGGTAAATAATGCATTTACGCTGTGTCAGTTTGAACGTCAGGATGTTCTGGGTGAAGTGTTTGGGACCTCGATTTGTGTCAATCTCAGGAGCATCAGTGTAGTGAAAGTTACGCTTTACTGCTATTTCCATTAATTCACTTTCACTTGTCATTTCAGCCTATACTGTGCTTATATGTCGAATAAAGCCTATCCTTAGGCGAAGTCTTCTCATTCTACTCAACGGATCAATAATCGATTAACTAAGTCATCGACTCCCACTACAATCAGTCACCATCAAGTATCGTGAAGCTCAGAAGTATCAGTTTAACTCGACCGCGTCGACGGTTGGATTTCACGTTCTCCACTAAAAGACGATTATGACGTCGCGTATCAACAACAAACCATTCCGGTTGCAGCCTGGTATTGGTCGTGAAATCAGGCTGCTCAATATGCCCACTCTCTGCAACCCATGTGCGCAAACTTTCGCTGCGTTACACTCCGCGTTTTCAGGTTTCTTACCAGGACCGGGAAAGCCACTTTTTGGGCAGACGAGGATTTGGAATGTGCAACATCACCACGGCCCCTGGTTGTGGACACGCTCTTCGAATAAAGTTCCTGGTGCATAAATGAATACAGACACCGGTGCAACGGTGTCTAGTCCCCATGACCCACTGAGCATTATTGTGTAATGTCCGTGCAACGCTAATACCAGGGTGGCCACTCGTTAGGGGCCTGACCAACAAGGTTTACCAATTCACCCGGTTGAGGAATGTAACGCGGGCGATTTTTGTGAAAATGTGATGTGTTGGAGCTTACAGTCAAACCGGTGCTTTGCGCTCAAGCTTTTGAGCAAAGACCTTAGTTAAGAACAACTGTCCTGTCTGGGTCTGGGCACCTTGGCAGTATCCCGGCCCACGTACAACCATGATTCTTGCAACAGCAATTACTGTCACGCCACATCAGCGGTAGCGTAGTGCCGCCAGTCGGGTCGCCTTGCTTGCTACATATAGCAAAGTGGTTAGGTGCTGACCCCTCTATTCATCCATTTCGCACGATTTTTCTCCACCACCACCCCCCCCCCCGCCTAACAATGTTCTCTTTGTAAATTTATCCACTGGAACTGAAGACTGCACTCGCGTCACAGCGATCTTATCCGCGATATATTCTGTCAGTTGGTGCCAACAGCCCCAGGCATTTCAAAATCCGTCTTCACACGTTGACACTTGGTTTAGCTGACTGCTTATAAAGGTCGCACTTCGGAGCGAGCAGGATAGCAGGTTGCTTTTGCTTGGGCACTGGATGTGTATTGTTAAAAAAAAAACAATACAAGGTACAAGTACGGTGCCGTTTTCGCTCAGCCACGTGGTTGCGCTATCTCCGTCACTGCACGCTCTCTTACGGCTGCCCATCTCTGGAGATCCGGAGGTCAGTGTGGCTGGCTTAGCAGGAGTCATCGAAAGTAAGGATCCTTGCCTCACTGAATACCCGTCGAGAGTCGGGGTTCGGGTGGTGATGTCTTCAAAGGAATCCCAGAAATTGGAAATTGAGCTTTGTTAGTTTATCGTGGCTGATTGCGTCCTGACCGACTGTGACTCACACGATCAGAGGCGATATTATGACGCTCTATCTGAATGGCCATTTATAGGTGAGTCACCCAAGGGTTTGTTTGAAGAACGAACCGTCGTCCAGAGGACTTGAGATAACAGGAAACAAGTGCAAAACCAATGGTCAGTCCGAACCCTCCAAACTAGTGCGTCCAGTAGAACTCAAACAGGTCTTTGTGGTAGGGTCACCATTGTGTGGTAACCATTGTGGCGTAGTCACCAAGTATGTAGTGTGCACGCTATGGAAGCACCAGGGGACAGTGATTCTCCGAAGATAGAGGTTCACAAGAATTTCTGTGGGTAGAAGACAGAAGGAAAGCTCATGAGCCGAAGCCCATTAAGCTAGTTTATACATCAATACTTACATAAATAAATCAAACTAGCAGACGCCGTACGCCCAGCTGGCAACCAGCCGTAAGCGGATACTTAAAAGTGATTGGCCATTGTGTCCACATCTTTTACCAATCAGAGCTCGCTTTGATGCCCGACCTCTAAGCGGGCAATAACGTGCGCGTTAGGCTTCTTTGTCATGGTAGCACCTGGTTGTGAGCGTTGAAATGGGTTGGGTGTATGATTCCGTGTGATACAGACTGCAGTGGGGCCACTTCATCCACATCAGCCATGGATATGTTTTCTTATGAGAACCAACTTAAAGTGGACCGTGGACAGCTTTTCGGGTGCACGCGCTCAAGCGCTGAATTCATAGCACCTTGGATTCCGAACTGTTCATCACTTGGCTGGCCGGTATCCGCGTTCATAATTTGTTAACGTAGCACTTCTGATGGACTTCTTCGATGACTGAACCCTGAAGGTAGTGAAATGGCTAGTAGTGGAAAGTTGCTATAGTTGCTGGAAGACGTGCTGTCACACGGACGCAAAACAAGTCATGTCATGTGTGTTTTGCATTGTCCACCAGAATGGACTGGGAGATCCGCAAGTCCTGAGGTATTGGCAGAGTCGAGGTAAACACCAGTTGGGCATGCAGCTGTCTAAATCGATTCGGTCCGTCCGAACAGAACGTTGAGTAGAATTCAGGGC